CGTTCAAATTTACTTTACAAAACCAAATGAAGAATGGCAGTGCGAAGCAAGGGAGGGAGAGGGGGAAAGAGCATAAGAGATTATTTCGAGTTTTGTCATTTCAATTCGCATTATCCTTTGCACTTATTTTAGTATACACTGCGTGTATCTTTTTTCTCCAATAGCCCATACCTCCCCCTACCCTAACCACCAACTACAACATGCTTCCATTTGAGTGTGTGCGTGTGTATGTGTATGTGTATGTGAGTGAGGGTGTGAGAGAAAGAGAGAGGGTGTGTTTGCGTAATGGCGGGTGTGCCAGCTTCTTCAAACTCGCCCCCAACCTTCGTTCCGACTCGTCTACCAAGTAACTCGTATTGTCATTGTGCAAATAAAATATGTCACGACTCTCCCATTCCACATTGTCCTTCCCCACCCTCGACGTCCCCCAATCTCTGCACAATTTTCTAAAACCCAAACACGCCCCCGTTACAACTGTGTGTGGGTAACCTTTTGTTGCCCATTGTAGTCATTGTGCCTGCGAATACAATGTGATGTGCATACTATAATGGCCTCTGCCTCTTTATTCCGAAGCATGAAAATCGTTTTTACATAAACTTCAATGAACGAGACAAGCATGTGGTATGTACGCCTATAGACCAGACCAGACTTCTTAGTCGCAATTCATAGAAAATATACAAGCAGTAGGAAAATATTACTGTTGGTAGTTCAGGTTAAATAACTAAGCAAATACTTGTACGAGCTAAAAGCTGTTCCATTTTAGCATTAGTTTGTTTTCCATTTGGAAAATAGCTCGAGCCCAGGACGTCTTCTGACGTCTTTTGAAACCAATAACACGAATTCTTAAATGTTTCCCTATAAATATATTTCAGCTCGATTGTGTAGATAGCGTTCACAATAGTATGACATTTAAATAATTTTCCTGCAGGATTTTCTATACTTCATTCATATAATTTATCACTACATATTATAGAATACATTATTCGTGTATTTTCAATAGTTTTGATTGAATTTAATGCAATGCGAAGCTTTGCAAAAAAAAGATAGACGGAGTTCCCTTAGACTTTCACAGGGCACGTCAGTGGACAACAAGTTTCACTTTAGATCTATCGAGTAATTATATCAACAAAAAGTTGGCTCATAATATCGACACCCCAAAGATTTTTTTATTTACAATTTCCCATTTTAGAGTATCGCCTGCTTCGATAAATCTGTTTATTTATTTACTTTCACAAGCACTGGACGCTTTTGGATTCTGAATCACAGAATTAACACATTAAAAGCTTCATTCTAGTACAATAATTTACTTGTCCTTGTTAGTTATTTCTACCATAAATTTACGACTACCGCCTTGTTGCGATATTTATCTTTCAAATCGCCTTGCGATGCTTCGAGAAGTACACTTAGCACTCGAACATTTACCTAATTTCTTTTCTTCATATATCAGTTTTTATTTGTTTATTTAAATTATTCAGAAAATTCCTCCCGTACTCCCAAACTAGTCACTAGCATTCAACATCCATTGCACGTTTTCCAAGTTCTAAGCCCATACTATAAAAGCTAAAACTAAATCCACATTTTCAACTGGCAAATCCTTTTCAAATCTGCAGTCAGGTGTAAAATAAGCAAATATTTTTTATACATGTTTCGTTTTTTCGGCAGAAAAATGTGTCGCAAGGCTAAATAAATACACAGCTAGAAGGGGACCCATTGCCCAAACCTCCAATGCTACACATATGACTGTAAAAGACAATCGTTGGCTGTCTCCGCTGCACTCCCACTATCCCTCTCTCTCTCTCTCTCTTTCCCTTTCTCTCTCCCTTTCTTTTTCATTCTGTGAATGGCGAGTGGTTTTGGCTAAATGCGAAATCGATTGGAAAACAATTTCCAATTTTTAAAGAATTATCGCCGCCATATTCGCGCATGCTACACTAAATCACACATAAGCAACCTCTAAATCTGCTACCAGCGTCAATGTGAGACACAAACACACACACACACATACACCCTAATACACTTACATACATACAAAGCGAACCTTTTTTCGAAGATTTTCCTTTTTGCTCTTCCATTTATTTTATATACGTCTTTTTTATTTTATTTTATTTTACTCGTGCAATATTTTCCATTTCATTTTCTGCGCGGCTGGCGTCGCTTTTGGCTTTGGCTGCATGCTTGACTGCGTGTCTTTATGTGTGTGTGTGTGAGTATGTGTGTGTTTTATCTTTACCACAAACGCAGAATTATAGAGCTAACCCACACACACACACACACATCAAACCATTCGCTTTCATGTTGCTTTGGGTTATTGTACCTTTGACTTTGAGTTTGTTAGTTTGGTTTGCTTGTTTGTTTCTCTTTTTTCTTGTCACCCGTAGAGGTTGGAGTGGGTCGTGGCAGCTGCCATCACACCCCAACACCTTATATCCCATATGTCGAATTTGTTAATACAGTAATACAGTAGATCTTGAGCATGAATATGCTAAAATGCTCCAGTCAAAGGTCCAGGTTATGTGACCAATCCAACTTCAATTCCTCACAATGGTTTCTTGAAGTGTTACGAAAGATGTGAAATGCGTCAGAAAAGTCTAGAATTTTTTTTATAGTATTGCTTGCTTTAATATAAAGTGTACCTACAATTATTACATAACTAAGGCATATAACCCTAAATATATAAATGAATATACACTGTTTAAGGGAACCTACGCTCTGCCTCCCTCTCTCTCTCTCAGACTGCTTACATTTCCTAAAGCTTAAAGCGTGGGACAAATAGATTCTTATTGGTTATAGAACTATTAATTTGTATTTTGTTAATTGAAACTACATAAATAATTATTTAATAGTCTCCCTTAATTCAGCCAAGCAAGAACTAAACGAATTTTTCAAATTGAAATATAGTTGTATAATTGAAGTAGAAAATCGTTTCTAAAATATAGAGAAAAGAATTGTTTATGCTTATATAGATATATGTATAAAAATAATAATGTTATCTTAAAACTACACACTTCTATAAAAAGGTATAAACATCTATATGTAATTTATATAATAGAACAAGAGATAACGCTACAGTCGAGCAAGCCCGACAGTGTAATACCCTGTACCCAGGTAAACTTCCGTCACTGAGTTATATGCGCCCATAGCAGCAGCAAAAAGAGGAAGAAGAAGAGCGAACTTGTTGCTGCAGTTTGGGGGGGTTGTACTGGCGAGAATTTGTTTTGCTAATAACTTTTCTTAGAATTGACCGAATTGAATAAATTTTATACTACAGTAGACAATTATATATTAATTATGTGTGCAAAGTTTGGTTTAGGTAGCATTTGAAATGTGGACGCTATTGACGAAATTCTGTAGCGGGGGAAGGGGGGGAAAATTCCAAAAAATAAAATAAACTCGTCCTTACTTGGACCTAGGAGAATCTGGATGCCAACTTTGGTTATTCTAGCTTTTATAGTTTCTGAGATCCTCGCGTTCATCCAGACGGACAGACGTATAAAACAGAGGGTATAAAAATATACCTACCTTTTTAATCTTATTCTTAGCTACTTGTAGATAGTAAGCCCCTAAATATAAGACATATTAGCACAAGTCTTTCATTCCATTCACAAAACTCAATTTCATTGAAATACTATAAAGTTATTCTCTTTATATGAACATTCAAAATATTTACGCTGATTGACTTATTCATTAGTGTCGAAATCAGGGTTTCACTTGTAAATAATCGAAGTCAAATAAAAAGTTGCATTCAAATATTAGTCAAGTTTCGAAGCTAGGGAATCCCTCTTGTATTTCCAAAACTCAAATGTTAGAGTCTTTGTAGAGTCAGTTTAGGTAAGCTATTAATTTAATGTAACTATAACAACAAAACTAACATTACTAGTCAGGTGTAAAACGTATGACATTATTCTGAAGGAGCACATCCTTTTGCGATTCGAACTTCTACTCATTCTCCAAATTTTAAAACTTTTTTTCTCCAAATTGTAAAACGTTTTAGCCTCTCCAAATTTTTTTTTTAATTTTTTTATTAAATTTTTAATTTTTATTCAAGATCTGTCCAGGGTTGGACAATTATTAAATTTTATGATAGCTTTGAAACTTCAATCATGCTTCCGTCATGATGGTTGCGGCGTGATTCGAACTGAGTTCCTACTCAGGAGCAAACTCGTATTGTGAGATTCTTGCTAGCTTGTTGAGCTCTAATACTATATGTAGATTAAATATTGTATAAGTATGCATTCAGTTAATCACCCACACTTGAATATCATATAAAGACGTTTTATGTGCTCCTAATATGCAATTTTAACAAGAGAGAACGCTACAGTCGAGTAAGCCCGACAGTGAAATACCCTGTACCCAGGTAAACTTCCGGCACTGAGGTAAATGCGCCTCTAGCAGAAGCAAAAGGAAGAAGAAGAGCGAACTTGATGCTGCAGCTTTTGGGTGCAGTACCGAAGTATAATTGTTCGCTAATAACTTTTCTTAGAACCAACCAATTTAGATGAAATTTGAAACAAAAGTAATATAAAGCTATTATATAGATATTATGAGTGCAACGTTTGGTTAGGGTAGCTTTTGAAATGTGGACGGTATTAACGAAATTCTGTAGCGGGTGAAGGGGGGGAATATTCCAAAAAATAAAATAAACTCATCCTTTCTCGGACCTAGGAGAATCTGGATACCAGCTTTGGTTATTCTATCTTTTATAGTTTCTGAGATCCTTGTGTTCGTCCAGACGGACAGACGGTAGGACGGACGGACGGACATGTCTAGATCGATTTCTCTCGTCATGCTGATTCAGAATATATATACTTTATGGGGGGGGCGATGCTTCCTTCCGCATGTTACATACTTTGCACAAACCTAATATACCCTTTTTACCCTACGGGTACAGGATATAAAATGTTAATTCCGTCCGGCAGGTTTCCACTTATTTCTGTTATTTCATTGACAATTTCTTGACAATTTTAAATAAAAATTTGTAATTTGTTGAACCCATTGATATCTTTGAATTGTGGCAGCAAGTATTTATTAAAAATCAACACTTTATGTTTAGTTAGATGCAACATCATGTAACTTCCGACTCGAATTGATATGCATGTGTGCTTATGTAGGTTCCACTGTATCTCCTCTTTTTTAAGCAAGCCGCAAGCATTTGCCAATCAAGCAGATGCTGCGGCATTTTAACTACTAATAGGATTTGGATGCCTGTTTAGTTGCGCTTGAGTGCCAGCGTCTGCCGACTGCTGATGACTAGAATGGGGATGGGGGTGGCGATGGCGATGGCGATGGGGACGAGGACAAGGACGTTGTTCGCGCAAGGTGCCAAATCGTAATTTACATGGATTTCGTTGAGATACCTAAAGAATTGAATTGAAAGCCAGAGCAAAGCTACCGCTAATGTATTGTAGATTATGCCAAATCCCTTGCTTTCTTTATGCCGTCGCCTCCAACGAACGCATGGGCACGCATATGTGTGAGTATGCGTGTGTATACGTGCGTGTGTGTGTGCGTGTCAACATTAATGTGCGAATGTATAAAAACGACATGTGAAGCAGCTCTCTCTCTCTCTCGCTCTTGCTCTCATTCTCGACATCCCTCTCCTTCAGCTCGCTAGGCAACGCTATTGTCGCTGCTGGTGCTGCTGCTGCCAGAAAAGCGTCGATAGCGGAGCCTTCGCCGCTTGCGCAGACATAAACGCACCTCGTAGACCAGATTACAGACCATCAGACCCAACATTAGGAACATTACGAGCGCGGCAAGCATCAGGAGGAACCAGTGAAAGTAACAGGACATGGTCACAGGACGATTTAGCCAACCAATCCAATCAGTAGTACACCTCTCCGGCACACAACGACCCCGCAATGTTCGCACACAACCCTTGGGGCAGTTGCCATTGACGTAACTCAGATTATCGGGACTGCTTACATTGGCAGCGCAATTGATCGCCGGAAAGGTTGTGGGCATCGACATTTACGGGCACAGTGGAATATAGATTTCTTCAATTTTGTTCTCGCTTACAGCAGCCCCTTAAATATGCCAAAAATAGTTTATATATATGAAATTTTCAAAACAAAAATCCAACAATGACAGCAAAAGCTAATAAAAAATATATTCTGATTTGGTTCAACAATTCACAACTCTTTTCTTATACAAGCTCAATTACTCGCAGCAAGAAGAGAAATCAAAAAATTTAAAGTTCAATTCAAATTCAATTAAACTGATATATTTGAAATTATGTTTGAGATATTTTCTAACTCAAAATTAAGATCGTATTTTTCTTTTCCAAATTAATAAGCAGAATATAAAATTTTTAACATAAGTCATAAACCTGAAAACCCACCAACTTCACGGATAAAGGCAGAAAACCAAGGCAATCCCCCTGCAACTCCAAAGAGAGGAATGACAAAACAGGTTATAACAAGGAAACACAGATGCAAGAAGTGAAACGAACTAGTTCACGATATGAACTGTCCAAAATGGCTTTTTGAAGAACTGCCGATTACAGGCAATTCACCAAAGGTACTTTCTGGCCATTCTTAGATTTGAAAATATATTTTAATTCAGCACGGAAAAGGACGTTTTATAAACTTGAACAACTTACAACCTTTTGATGGTCACTCTTACCGTAAATATATAGATTCATAGACCGGTTCATTTTTTGATTGCACACATTTATCTTCAGTTAAGGATTTATTCACATTATTAAAAGTCTTGAAAAAAATAAGTTTAGTAAAAATTAATGAATGCGACCACATTATTAATAAATTGTTCTTCCAGCTTGTTGTCGATTGGCTTTTGTCTATATAGGTACAATATTGATGAACCACCGCCACCTTTGCTTCCAATCTTGGCATGTCTTCGGTGTTTACTTTCTCGGCTCTTAAAATTACCGTTCATACGTTTTCAACCCCATCTCCTTTTTGTACACTTGTAGCGCTCCTCAAAGTCGATCGACTTTAAAGACTCCGCCAGCCATTCTAACAAAGCTTCCCGCGCTTTGTTCATTTGCCACCATTTGAAGGTCATGAAAATGAGAGCCACCGCTACGGAAATAATACATCCATAAATCATGCTGATGCCGATCCATTTTAAATATTCCATTAGAGAAGATCCACAAAATGTGATAACATTGTAGAAACACTCGACCGTATATGAATCCGCAAGCTCCAATACAACACACTTCATACTTTATATATGGATTTAAATTCTTGCCCGTTCCACGACTTGCGCTGTAACTGAAACCGACTTCGGCTTTGACAGCCTCTTTTATAGAACCCGCCAGCTATTTGTGTATTTCATAATGTCTGGATTTTCCAGAGAACTTTTTGCTGATACGCGAGTGTTACAAAGCACTGCGTTATAAGTCCCTTGGGTCACATACATACATAAATATTTCAGCCAAATAGTAAACAAAAACATTGAACAGTAAATTATAATATGCGATTAATAATGAACAGTGCGTTAAAACGCGAGACTTTATATTTTTGGCGATATTCTTCATCATCAAGGAGATAAAAAAAAGGGTGAGTATGTTTTTTTTTTTTTTGAAGAAACAATAAGTAATCAAAAAATAAATCAATAGATATAGTAAATGAACAAAAATAAAAAAAAGTTAACAAGATAACATTTAATGTATTTATCAGCAGTACTTGTAGTTGACTTCCAGAAAATGGAACCGGCTGGTATACATACATATTTGCAAGTGGAAGTGTAACTATCACTTAAGTATTGAGATAAGTGAATGGGAAAGTCAAATCAAATTCAGATCATCTTAAATTTAAACATACAAATCTGAATTCATTCGACACCATAAGCTTACCCCAACCATTATCTTGACTTACGAATCTTCTTCGGTCGCCTAATATCTCGATAATGGAATTAGATTGAACTTCTTCTCGTCGCTAAATCAATTGTTTCGTTAAATTTGTAAAATATATGTAAGTTTTCCTTTTTAGTCCAGCATGTCATAATAATTGGTGAGCATTGCAGAAAACCTTAAATTAGTCTTATAATAAAATAAATGTTGTAAAAACCTTACAAGACTTAGTGTTGAAAAACACTCAACAATTTTTTCATTGAATCGATTTATCGATTTATTTGCAAGAACAAAAATTTTAGTTTTCTAACACTACATTTTTAGTGCGCCTGGGACTACATAGAAGTTGTTTAAGGACATTAGTCAGTCTTCGGCTGCAGACCGAATCACATCTAATTTTATTTTATTTCATTTTTTCATAAAGAAATTACTTATTTAATTTAACATTTTTCTATTAACCAGTTTGCTTGTAAACATATTCTATGGAATATTGAATACATGTTTACCACGTTCCTTCCATTATAAATATTTTGTTGTTTTTGAATACATACTATTAATTTTCCGGGTGCGGTTATTTATTTTACTCTTCTTTGCCTGAAAAAATATTTATAATTGGTTGTTAATAGTCCATTGACGAGTTCATTTTTTCATAAAGAAATTACTTATTTAATTTAACATTTTTCTATTAACCAGTTTGCTTGTAAACAAATTCTATGGAATTTTGAATACATGTTTACCACGTTCCTTCCATTATAAATATTTTTATTTATTTTACGCTTCTTTGTCTGAAAAAATATTTCTAATTGGTTGTTAATAGTCCATTGACGAGTTAATGTTTTTCGTAGAATATTATTTCACCAATTTTGTAACTTTGGAATCTGCGATCAGGGTGCACTGGCTGGAGTTGCTCGATTTTTTTTTTTTTTTTTTTTTTTATTTAAATAAACGCTTTAGCGATGATTTATATTTTAAGAGATCAAATGTTCGAAATGCTTATACAATATATTATAGAGCTTAAATATGAACTTTTATGGGGCTAGAGATTTTAATATTCTTGGATGCAGTTCTTCTGCTAATTTATGCTGTTGCACCGCCTTTAAAGCCTTCGAAGTGTAGAAGCATAGATTTGAGGACTTGCTAGCCAATTTTTGAGTATAATCAAGCACTGCAGGTCTCAGGCACCTGTCCATATCAGAGTTGCATTCTGGTGATGAAGAGCAGTGTTTGGTTCTGTTATTTACTTTTTTTTTTTTTTGCTGCCCCAGATTATCCTCTCAAATCACCAACAGCTCGCAATTATTTTCTTGCAATTATTAAGTTTATTTTTGAGAGACAGCTTACTGTTGTTGTTAAGTAGTCTAAATTAAGTTCACGACATCTCCATAACTGCTACAGCATTTTTCCGCGGTTTAATTGTGAAATTTGAAATTGTTTATAACACCTAACACTTTTATAAATATAGTACATATATAACATTTTATGTCACTGTTACGAAATGCACTTTACCATTTTATTTAGGGTCCTTATGACAAATTTGTAGTTTCTTCTCGCCATTTTTTATAAAATTGCTCAAATTTCCACTAAACATCAGATATTTTTTGTTTACTTTGAAAACTTTTGACCCTTTCAATTCGGTTAAATGTATTTATTTGATTACTTTGTTCTAATTTATACGAAAGACAAACATCAGAACCGAAAAGAGTACGCTCTCTTTATAACTTACCAAAGGTTAATTGTTAGAAAATGGTTACGAGATTGCCTATTCAGATAGTCAAGGAATGTTGAAGCACTTACAATATAATATGTATTAACTGTAGCTGATCAAGCGAATGCAGACAGATAATTAAAATCCAAAAACGTTGTAAACTAAATCAGCATAACAAAGTGATTTTAATGTAATTCGTGATTTTGCATAATTATGAACTTAATAATTAAAATTTGTGCACAAAACCGAAATGAAAATATGAAAATTTAATGCATCAACTAGCATGTACCTGCACTCAGTCCCCCATCAGGGTGGATGGTGGAGGGTGGAGTGTTGGAGTGGACGAAGGTATATGGCTGCAGGTGCATTTAGCATTTAAAAGCGGACTTATGGTTGCTTATGAGCCATTTACCACGCCCCTCCACCCATCCAAACGGCAAATGCATAACTAATGCGTAAATATTAGCAAATTCCAAAATGTATGACCCCCAGCCCGCATCCACAGCCAGCTCCACGTGCATATAAATTTGAGACACATGTGCAGTGCACGTGTTTGTTGTTGCTGTCACAGTTATACGTGCACGGTGTCTGTCGTCTGCCCGTCTATCTGTGTATTTGTAATAAGCAATCAATTATTATTATTGAATTTAGGCGCGGTTTGCGTGCAACAAATGCGACGCGTAGGTCGTCACTGCGGGTGGGGGGATGACCTGGTCCAGGGCAGCAGCGGGGGTCCGGCGGTACTAATGCGCCTAATGAGAATTTAAGCATTTGCACTGCACGCCATTTTGCATGGATTTGAAAAGCTCACTGACACACACACACACACATACACGGACAGATGTATGCAAATATGATTTAGAGAATGAAATGCATGAGAGGTACAGTTGCGCTTTGTAAAGTTTAAATGCAATTACCGTTATTCCATTTAAATGGCGGCTTGACATATTTCGTAATTTGGCTTAAAATTTGTCAAAGGCACACAAAAATCTATGCAGAGATTTTGGCTCAGTTGCAGAATAATTGACACAACTGATTACAACTGAGTCCAAACCTCAACCTCAAACAAATGGAAATGGCGTAGTAAAGAACCTTTAACCGCCAAATATACACATTTTTGCCATTTGGATGCTTAAGTTATAAACACAATAATTTATTAATTTCTGTGCTCTTCTTTATTCTGTTCAATAATGTTATAAGACTTTCATTGTAGTCCAGCATGTCATAGCATGTTGGGAACAAAAACCGAACTTAAGAAACTCACAAATTGAATTCAGTGCTGAAAAACACTTCATGGAACTGTTATTAATAAGTTTTTTCAGTCCTTAAAATACTAACTTTTCTAGCTCAATTTTGTTCGATACGAAACTGTCTGGCAGCACGAATGCATTTCAAAATTCACCGAATTTTTGTTAGTTTCTTCTTTTCACAAATTTAATGCCTTTTTGTCCTGATTATTTATTTGTTATATTTTCATATTTTTTTGTCACTGCTTATATTGTTGCTTGGTGTATTATGG